TGTGGATAGGGGTCGGGCAGTCAGGGAACAGGGAGCAGGGGGGTTGGATGGGGGTGGGGGGGGCCCGGGAGGGGGCGGTCAGGGGACAAGGAGCAGGTGGTTTGGATGGCTTGGAGGTTCTGAGGGAGGCAGTGGGAGGATAGGGGATGGGGGCCAGACTGTTTGGGGAGGCACAGCCTTCCCTACCCAGCCCTCCATACAGTTGCGCAACCCCGATGTGGCCCTCGGGCCAAAAAGTTTGCCCACCCCTGTTCTACAGCCAAATTCACAAAGCCCCCGCTCCCCTTGTGTTAAGCCATTTTTGTCCCCTCCTGATCCTGGGCTGCTCTGGGGACTGGAACAGCAGTTTCTCAGGGCTGCAGTGCCTGAAATCTCCATAGAGTGATCCAACTTTGCCCCCAATACCCTCTACACCCCAGCATGTCTCCTGTGCCAGAACTAGTGAAGAGGTCTTTGGAAGGCAGCTTTATGAATACCTTTTACAGTGCCTATACTGTGAAAATTCACCCCCAGTTGGAACTGGGATTTTTAGGACCTCTTTACACTACTCTAGCACTTTAACCTGGTGTGGATCTCACCACATGAATCTGTGTAAAGCCCATAATTCAGAACCTTTTAGAACATCATATACAAAGCTTTGTAGAATGCTTAAAGGTTTGTTTCAAGTTTGAGAGCTACAGAGAATTAACTTTTAATAAACTAATATTGTAAAATATTTTGCAAAATGTCATCAGTTTGTTTTTTGAAACTAAAACCAGCCTTCCAGAATTCACCCCATTTTGCAAAATAAGACTCTGACCTTCAGTTGGATTCGTATAGGCACAGGGCCTACTCTCCAGTAGTCAGTCCAGAGCCTAAATAAATAAAACTGTTAATGGCTGGTTTAACTTTTAATAGGGTTACCATTCGTCCGGATTTACCCGGACATGTCCTCCTTTTCGTGCTAAAAATAGCGTCCGGGGGGAATTTGTAAAGCACTGAAAATGTCCGGGATTTCCCCCCTCCCCCGGCAGAGCAGAGCTGGGAGGGCTGCAGGAAAGTCCCGGGCTGGACTACGGAGCAGCTTCCTCCTCCCTGCATTCTGAGCCGGCCGGCAGCTCCTCCTCCTGCAGCCCGGTCCGGCAGCATTGTGCAGGGCCAGGGACCGGGTTTTGTTGTGCTGGGGAGCGCAGCCACGTGTCCGGCTGGCACAGAGCCCAACACCCTGTTCTGAGCAGCAGGGTAAGGGGGCCAGGGAGGTTCTGGTAGGGGGGGGGCTTTTTGGGGGGAGTGGAAAAAGTTTTGGGCAGTCAGGGTACAGGGTAGGGGGTAGGGTCCGTGGGGGGCAGTTGGGGGGGGTCTTAGAGGGGGCAGTTAGGGGACAAGGAACAGGGAGTCTTAGGTAGGGGTGGGGTTCTGGGGGGCAGTTAGGAGCAGGGGTCCCAGGAGGGGCAGG